CCTGGGAGGCATATTACCCTTTTACTATATAGCATAGAGGCCTGGTGCATGGGTGGGGCTGGCTGGTTTGCCCTGAAGGGTAGCCTGGATCAGGATGGGGGTCCCCACTGGGGTGCCTGGCCAGCCTGGATGAGGGGATGATGGCTGTTTGCAGCTGGTCACACACCCTTCAGGGTGGGGGTCCCCACTGGGGTGCCTGGCCAGTCTGGGTGCGGGGCTGAGGGCTGTTTTTAGCCTGGTGGGTGACTGAAGCTCCTGGTGTGTCTGTTTTATGCCAGTACCATACTGTTAAGTACATTTTTTTACAGTTTACATTCAGTAAACTGCTCCTTTATTTCTTTTTTCTTTTTATTCTGGGCCAGCTTTAGCTCTGGCTCCAGCTCTGAGGCCTCTGCTGCTGAAAGCAGGTATCTGGTTTGTTTGGGTTTTTTATCGAAACACTGTATCAACTCCAGCTCTGAGATCCTGGCTGGCCGAAAGCAGGTTTCTGGGGTTTTGTTTAGCTTTTATATTTGTAACAATGTTTCAAACTGCAAGCTCAGAGGCCGGCAAGGCAGGCGGGGAACGTTGGTTTCCTCCGTCACTGAAACATCACACCTCATGTTCGCTTCCAGTTGCCTGGCTGCTGTCCGCCATCTTGGCTGGCAGTTAATTTGCATATCTCGCTGATTAGCCAATGGGAAGGGTAGCGGATGTACGGCTAATTACCATCTTTCTCTGTTATTAGATAGGATATAGATGCCATCCATGTTTTTTCTTTTATTGTCAAAAACAAAGGAATTGTTTTTGTCTGGATATACTTGTGTGTTTATCCGTTCACTTGTTGATAGACATTTGAGTTGTGGCTAGTTTGGGTAATTACAAATAAAACTGCTATGAATATTCATGTACAAGACTTACTGTGGACCTATGCTTTCATTTCTGGATAGTAGGTATTAAGAGACTACCAAAGCATTGGCCGGTGTGGCTCAGTGGTAGAGTGTCAGTCTGTGCACAAAGGATTGGGGCACGTGCTGGAGGCAATGAATTGATGTGTGTCTCTCATATTCATGTTTCTCTCCCTCTCCTGCCTTCCCTCCCAATCTCTAAAAATTAATGGAAAAAATATCCTCGGGTGAGGATTAAAAAAAAAAGACTATCAAATTGTTTTCCAAAGTGGTTGATCATTTAAAATCCCCTCAGCAGTGTCTGAGAGTTCCACTTCCTCCATATTTTCTTCACCCAGGTACATGCCCTTGACCGGAATCGAACCTGGGACCCTTCAGTCCGCAGGCCGACGCTCTATCCACTGAGCCAAACCGGTTTCGGCTGCATGGTCATTCTTATAGATGAATAGTGGTATCTCTTTGTGGTTTAAATTTGCATTTCCCTGTGATTAGTGATGTTGAGCATCTTTTCATGTACCTGTTGGCCATCTGTCTCCTGTGGAAACATGTCTTCACATCTGCCCATCTTTTATTTGGATTGTTTGTTCTTTTGCTGTTGAGTTATATGAGTTCTTTATCTGTTCTGGATAGTAATTCCTTATCAGATATATGATTTGCAGATATGTTCTCCCATTCGGTAGGTCACCTTTTCATTTTGTTGATGGTTTCCTTTGTTGTGCAGAAGCTTCTTAGTTTGATGTAGTACCACTTGTTTATTTTTTGCTTTTGTTTTCTTTGATACCAACAGGTATCAAATTAAAAAAATCACGTCAAGATTGATGTCAAAGAGCTTACCACCTAGGGTTTTGTCTTCTAGGAATTTTAATAATTTGAGGTCTTATAATCAAGTCCTTAATCCATTTTCGAGTTAATTTTGTGTATGGCATAAGGTAGTGGTCCAGTTTTCCCAGTACCATTTACTGAAAAGACTGTCCTTTCTCTGTTGTATATTCTTGGCCCCTTTGTCATAAATTAACTGACTATATATGTGTGGGCTTATTTCTGGGCTCTCGCTTCTATTTCATTGATCTGTGTGTCTGTTTTATGCCAGTACCATACTGTTAAGTACATTTTTTTACAGTTTACATTCAGTATTGTATTAGTTCAGATGTACAACGCAGTGGTCAATTATACACTTCACAGTGTGCTTCCCCATGCTGCTTTGATTACTATCTTTCACCCATTCTTTATGGGTTCTTTGTTTTCTTTTTATTGAGTTTTGAGAGTTCTTTATATGTTTTGGATACACATCCATCCAGATATGTTATTTAGAAATATATATTTTTAAATTTTATTGATTTTTTTTTTAGAGAGATGGAGGGAGAGGGAGAGAGAAACATTGATGTGGGAGCAAAGCATTGAACGGCTGCCTCCTGCACAACCCCTACTGGGGATCAAGCCCACAACCTGGGCATGTGCCCTGACCAGGAATTGAACCTTCTGGTGCACCACCGGCCAGGGGTAGAAATATTTTCTTCCTATCTTTGGATTGTTCTTAACAGTATGTTTTTAAGAGCAGAAATTTTAAATTTTGATAAGGTCTGATTTATCAGTTTTTCCTTTTATGATTTGTATTTTGTCTTCCCCCCACTCCCCCCCCCCCCCCCAAGATCTTTGCGTGGCAAAGTTATGTTAGCTCTTCAGTGCTTTTAAGAATATTTTGTTTTTGTATTTCATACAGATTCTTACTGTTTTTCTTATCAGGAAGAATGGTCAGAAATATTTGGTTCATCATTACCAGTGCAGCAATCAAGAGATCAAGTTCTATCAAATTATGTTTTATAAAATAATTTTTCTGAGGATCAAAATTGTGGTTAGGTTTGGAATATTTTCTGAACAGTCATTTGACTATATTTGTCTTATAATTCATAAAATGTTTAAAATTGTACAGGTTTGTGTTAATGATGATCTGGTTGCAAAGAACTTCGCTTGTTATGTATCACCCATGGAGAATAAAAACCTTGATTCTTTAGAGAAACCAAGATTGAGTATAAAGTCAGCATCCTTTCCCAGTAAACTCAATCCAGCACTTAGTCTTTGGCCAATGTTTTTGCAAGGAAAAGATTCTCAAGGAATGGAAAGTGAGTAGCTCCTCACCAATATGTTTTCTTAAACTGTCTTATTTATAGGGATCTTAGTGGGTTTTTTGAAATCTTTATTGTTGAAAGTATTACATATGTCTTCCTTTTCCCCCCATTGACCCCTTCTAGTTCTCCCCTCCCCCACCTGAATTTTAGTGTTTTGATATAAGTTGTTGTATAGATGTTTCTCTGTATAGAGACAGTGACTTGAACTCTGAATTTAGTATTTTAATTGTATACCTAGTGAGTGTGTTACAAGTTTTGAGGTCCTAAAGCTGCTACAGTTCATTTTTATGAGCACAGGAAAAACTATTCTTGGACAATGTTTCACTTCACCTGTTTCTACATTCAGTTTTCTTAAGTCCTTCACATAGTTCCCTGCTGAGGAGTCATGTCACCTATAACCTTACTAGTAAAAGCAAGAGCAGAAGTATGTAAAAGAATTAACATTTGTATTTTGGGTTTAATTTCATGCTTTAATCCTGAAATATATTATTTCTGTCAGAGTCACATGGTTTAACTTTTCTGGCGCAGTCTCTCCAGCATTCGCGGCCCAAGCGTGTTGTGAGTGATCCAGGGCCAACAGCTACTATCCTGGGTAAGTTCTGCTTGTTTCATGTCAGAGGCAGCATAAAACAGCCCTCTGAATGGTCTGACGATAATAAGGGTTGTTTAGAAGGGCTATGGTAATTCTCTCTTTTCTTAATTTAATGGAACCAGATTGTGATGTCTTGCTGACAAAGATAATTTGCCTTGCAAATTAAGTCGACGCTCAATCCATACTTACAGGATTTGATTATAATGTAAGGAGCATAACAGGCACTCGTTCATGTAGGACTGATTTATTCCAGCCCAGATATAGGTCAGTGATTATTATTTATCTTCAGAGTATACATATGTATATATGATTGATTTTTATTTTAAGTAATAGGATGCATAAAAATAAGAAAGAGATCTTTCTGAGGACAGAAATACCCAGTCTTTAATTTCATATCTTCAAGATATTAAATTAATGGAAATTGTTGGACATGGGTGAAATCTGCCAGCATCTTTGATGCTTGGCTCACCCCTGTGGTAATTCCTGCACAATTTTGCTACTACATTGGGTGTATATAATATTTATATGGATATAATATTTCATATGCATCCATAGTAAACCTCAACTACTCAACTAAGTTAAAGCTTTAGTCAACTAAAATATTCCCTATACTTAAAATTATTTTTAATTAGTTTGGTAATGTTCATCATAGAAAAATGTAGATAATCAAAATTTCCAACACCTGTCATTTTTGTACCTACTTATTAAAATATTAGAGTCTTTTTTCCCAAAGTTTTCCAGATGTGAGGGTGTGAATACAATTTTTTATTTTCCAGTAGTGGGATCTTACCATATATATCTCTGTGTAGTGTTTTTCACTTAATATACGGCTGAACTTTTTTCTAGGTCAAATGTGTCCAGTATAACATGGGTTTAAGGATATGAGCTCTGACATGAGACTGTCGGAATATCAGTCCCACTGCCACCTCTGTGAGGTGGGGAGGCATTATTTCTGTCGCACTGAATTGGTTAGGTGGGTCATTCATGTACGGAGGTCACATGGCATAGCACCTGTGGCCTGCCCCAGATGCTGATCTGCCTCCTGTAGGGGCCGTGAATGAGAATTCCCGCTAAAAGGAGCCTCTGGTGGGAATGTATTCTTTCCAGTTGTATTTCTTTCATTTTCATTGAACAGGAAAAATACAAGGCATTTACATAGTGTTTAATCATTGCACAGCTTCCCATTATTATTTTAAGTAGCCCCAGATTTCTGGACAGTCATTATTTCCTGTTGTTCTGTATTACATCAGTGTTGGAATAAACTATGCATGTCTTTGAAAAGGAAAAAGTTGATGTTAAACAAAATGTGAGATTTTACTGGATTGTCATGTAAAAACAAAATTATTAGCCTGGCTGGCATGGCTCAGGGTTGAGCATTGACTTATGAACCGGGAGGTCACCGTTCGATTCCCAGTCAGGGCACGTGCCCAGGTTATGGGCTTGATCCCAATTGGGGGACAGGCAGGAGGCAGCTGATTGATGATTCTCATCATTGATGTTTCTATCCCCCTCTCCCTTCCTCTCTGAAATCAATAAATATTTTTTTTTAAATTAAAAATGGAACTGCCTTATGACCTAGTTATTCCACTTCTGGGAATTTATCCAAAAGAAACGCAAAAACACTAATTTAAGAGAATATTTGTACTCCTATGTATTTCAGTGTTATTTACAATAACCAAGATAATGGAAGCAGCTCAAGTGTCGATCAGTAGGTGAGTGGAAAAAAGCTGTGGTACATTTACACAGTGAAATACTACTCTGCCATAAAAAGGAAGAAAACGTTACCCTTTGTGACAGCATGGATGGCCCTGGAGAACATTATGCTAAGTGAAATAAACCAGTCAGAGAAAGGTGGCAAGTACCATATGATTTCACTCATATGTGGAATCTAATGAACTAACAAGCAAAATTGAGACGGATTCATAGAGACCAGACTAACTGCTTCAGGGTGAGGGGTGCGGGGCTAGGTGGTTGGGGTGGAGGGATTGAGCAAAACAAAAAGAAAAAGCTCATGGACATGGACAACAGGGTGATGATTGCTGCGGGAGTGGATGGAGAGGTGGGGAGGTGGAGGAGGGTAAAGGGAATAAATGGTGATGGAAGGGGACTTGGCTTGGGTGGTGAACATACACAGTGCACAGAGGATATGTTGTGGAATTGTGCACCTGAAACCTGTATAATTTTGTTAACCATAAATAAGTGCAATAAAAAGAACCCCCCCCACCACAAAATAGTCAAAGTTTTGTTTTGTTTTTCCACGTGAGTATACAGTTTTTCCCAGTGTACATTATTTTATATTTGTGGTATATTCACCTCCTATATAGATTTCTGAAAAAAGGACTTCTGGGTTAAAGGATGATTTTATTAGAACACTAGAGGCCCGGTGCACAAATTTCATGCACGAGTGGGGTCCCTTGGCCTGGCTGGCGATTGGGGCCAATCAGGGGGGCCTGCCTGCCAGGGGGAGGGACTGTGGGAAGTTGGCTGGACGCTCCTCCCCACCCCACCCCCCGATCAAGGGCAATGGGGGGGCCAGCTGGCTCGGGGGAGGGACTGCGGGAGGTTGGATCCAGCAGCAAGCTAACCCACAGCCAATTCCGCGAAGAATTGGGCTCCCTCCTCTCTCCTGTCTGGGTCTGGGGTGCAGGTGAACCAGATTTGTGGCTGTCAGGGCCCCAGCAGCAAGGTCTGGGTCAGTGTGCATCATAGCTACCGGCCGGTCATCTGGTCATTCCGGTTGTTTGGTCTTAACGGTCACTTAGGCATATATGTATATAATTTCCAGGTGCTTGTGCAGAGGGGCCATATCGTCCTGGAGTCCCACTGGGAATCAAGGGAGATTGTGCCTATTTTTGCCCACAGCCTCACTAGCAGAGAGTATTCCAAGTCTTTGAGTTTTCTTCAGTCTGCAAATAAAATACAGTATCTTAAATTAGTTCCAATTTCTCCTATTATAAGTGCTACCTATGATTTTGTAAAAAGCCATGTACATTTATTGTGGTTAAATATGCTGTTGCAAAAGGTAAGATTTCCTTTTTTATGGCTGAGTAGTATTCCGTTGTATAAGTGTATTCCATTGTATAAGTGTACCACAGCTTTTTTATCTCCTCACCTACTGATGGGCACTTGGGCTGCTTCCAAGATCTTGGCTATTATAAATAATGCTGCAACGGGAGAAACCAAGATGGCCACATAGGTAAACACCGGCGTTTGCTGCCTTGAACAACCACTTCAAAAATACAAAAGACGAAACGGACATCATCCAGAACCACAGGAAAGCTGGCTGAGTGGAAATTCTACAACTAGGAGGAAAGAGAAAAACACTGAGACTCAGAGGAGGCGCAGTGCGGAAGTGAGATACTAAGGTGCGGAGTGCATGCGGAGCGGGCTGGCGGCTGAGGGCGTGGTTGTCGTTTTCAATCGGGAGGGAGTCTCAGGCTCTGAGCTCCAGTTCCGGGCGAGTCTTTAAGGACCCAGACTCAAACGGGAGAAGCGGGGCTGTCTGGCATCGGTCGGAACTCAAAGGCAGCTTTCTCTCCAAGGTTTGCAGTGGTTGCTGGGACTTTGAGAGGCAGAGCCCCTGGGGATGGGACTGAGAGCAGCCATAACTGTTCCCTCCGCCCGCCCTGTTGATCCCCTGGGACCCGCCTCGCCCAAACCCTGCACAGAGGCATTTGCCGGATAGCCTCAGGCAAAGGCTAGATTAGCACCTCCCTAGAGGACAGTAGTTCTCTCACTGCAGACACA